GCTGAATTTTTTTGGAGTAAGAACAAAGAGGTGTTCTTACACTCGGACAAGACTCTATAAGGATGATGCCTCATCTCCCTCTTGTCTTCAATCCTGCTTCTTACCTCTGGAGGAACTTTGCTACAAACTGAAGCTCTGAACAAAGGACTGAGGACCCATCCCAGCGGGGGATGTTCCAGAGACTTGATTTGAACCTGCAGTTTATTCCATCGCTGCTGCAAGCCTGAACCAAGAACTTTGCCATTACTGTATGTAATTGATTCCATTTAACCAATTCTAACTCTCATCTCGATCTTTTTCCTTTTATGAATAAACCTTTAGATTTTAGATTCTAAAGGATTGGCAGCAGCGTGATTTGTGGGTAAGATCTGACTTGTATATTGACCTGGGTCTGGGGCTTGGTCCTTTGGGATCAGGAGAACCTTTTTCTTTTACTGGGGTATTGGTTTTCATAACCATTTGTCCCCATAACGTGTGGCACTGGTGGTAATACTGGGAAACTGGAGTGTCTAAGGAGATTGCTTGTGAGACTTGCGGTTAGCCAATGGGATGAAACCGAAGTCTTAGTCTGGCTGGTTTGGTTTGCCTTAAAGGTGGAAAAACCCCAGCCTTGGGCTGTAACTGCCCTGTTTTAGCAATTTGTCCTGAGTTGGCCCTCTCAGTTGGGTTCCGCCAGAACCGCATTGTCACACTCCATCATCGCTACAGAGATACTACAATATTACAAAGCGACACTGCCTAGTTACCCCGAAGCTACTACACTGTTGCTACATCGCTGCTCCAAAGATACCACACAGTTATTCCAAAAATATTATACAGCTGCTACGCCATTGCTACTCCAAAGATATTTTGCCATTATTCTCAAGTTACTAGATTGTTACTACTGCCCACAGGGCTGTGACCTGGGGGTTTTCCTCCGGCCACTCCAGAGTAGCAGGAGCAGAAGTTCGTGAAGGTGTGGGGGGAAGGGTAAACTGCCCCTTACTGCAAAGCTGGAGTGAGGGGAGAGTCCAAGGAGGGAAGGATTCAAATCCTCTGCTGCTTGAATACCCAGAGAGCCGGGTTCGAATCCGGCTTTGCTCACAAGTGCGATGGGCTCTCCTGAGAATGCTCAAACCAACCTCGGTAAATGATGGGGAGGGGAAATGGGAGGACACACTGGGAAGGAAAGGGGGCGCTGGGTGGGACGTGCGCTGGGAGGGGCTGGGGGATGAGACGTGCTGAGAGAACCTGGTGTGGACGTGGGGTCACTCACCTTCGCCATGATGTCGGCGTAGGCCATGTACAGATAGTCCTCGTCCAGTTTGCTGAAAGGCAGCGCGTGCGCCAGAGTCAGATCCAAGACCACACGCTCCAGACAGGCCAGCTGAACAGTTCTACAACAGAGCCTGGACCCCCCCTCCCAGAGCCGGGGAGAGAACCCAGGAGTCCTGGCTCCCAGCCCCCCCTGCTCTAACCACTAGACCCCACTCCCCTCCCAGAGCCGGGGAGAGAACCCAGGAGTCCTGGCTCCCAGGCCCCCCCTGCTCTGACCACTGGTCCCCACTCCCCTCCCAGAGCCGGGGAGAGAACCCAGGAGTCCTGGCTCCCAGCCCCCCCCGCTCTAACCACTAGACCCCACTCCCTTCCCAGAACATGGGATAGAACCCAGGAGTCCTGGCTCCCAGCCCCCCCACCCACTCTGGGGCCCAGCAGGTGATTCACTCCCCAGGCTGAGTGGCTAGATGTGAATGCTGCCCCCGCCCCTGGCACCCACCTCTTCTCCGTCAGCGCCGTGCGGCTGAAGTGCAGGATGAGCTGGTGCAGGGGGTCGGGATTCTTCTCCATCTGCTCTTCCTCCTCCTCCTCCTCCTCGCCCGGTTTCTACTCCCCCCAGCAGGACACCGGAGAGTCAGCAGCTGTGAACCCGCCCGGCCCGGCAGCGCTGGGGCCCCCCCCCGCGTCCCCGCCAGAGAGAGCCTGGTGCGCCCGGCTTTTCCCACGCCCAGCCCATGGGCCCAGGAGCCTGCCCCACTTCCAGCCTTTCCTCCGTCACTCCTTCCCCCACGGCCCCCCACCGCTGACGTCCTGCTGCCCCCAAGCCTCCGGGACGATGGCGAGAGAGCAGGGAGCAGGAGGGAATGGAGCCCGGTGCCTGGGTGTGGATGGGACCCGGGCAGGGACGGGACCCAGGCGTCCTGGGACCAGTGCAGGGACAGGACCCAGGCGTCCTGGGACCAGTGCAGGGAGAGGACCCAGGCATCATGGGACCCAGGCAGGGAGAGGACCCAGGCGTCCTGGGACCCGGGCAGGGATGGGACCCAGGCGTCCTGGCTGTGGGATATGGAAAGCTCAGACCTCCCCCGAGTCCCCGACCCCCCCAACGCCCCCAGCTCACGGCCAGGTCGTCGATCATCCTGTCCTCGAAGGCGTGCTCCTCCGTGACGATCCAGGCCAGCTTGTAGCTCTCCAGGAACATGTTACAGGCCCGGTGCCTGGGGGAAGGGGCAGATCAGAGGCCTGGCAGGGGTGGGGGGCAGGGATTGACCCAGACTCACCCCCCGGCCGCACCCACTGAGCAGCCAGCGTCCCGCCTGGAGCCCAGAGCCGGGGGCGGGGGGGCTGCAAAGGGCCTGGCAGAGCTGAGATTGCACCCCCGTTCCGCGGAGGGCACGGATCCTGCAGGGTGGGGGTGGGGGACACTATGGATCGGGGGCGTGGGTTGTACAGGGAGCTGGATCCCATACAATGGGAGGGTGGGGGGGCATGGGTCACAAGGCGGGGGGCATGGGTCCCCCAGCAGGGGAAAGTTGGGGGGCCCGGATCCCCTCACTGGGGGAAGTTGGGGTGTGTGGATCCCCTGGTTGGGGGTAGGTTGCGGGGCCCAGATCCCCTGGCCGGGGGGAGGTTGGGGGGGCCCAGATCCCCTGGCCGGGGGGAGGCTGGGGGGCCCAGATCCCCAGGTTGGGGGGCCCAGAACCCCTGGCTGGAGGGAGATTGGGAGGCCCAGTTCCCCTGGCCGGGGGAAGGTTGGGGGGCTCAGTTCCCCTGGCCGGGGGGAGGTTGGGGGGCCCGGATCCCCCGGCCGGGGCAGATCCGGCGCTGACCTGGGCATGTTGTAGAGCGGCGTCATGCGGAAGCAGGCGACCACGGCGCGACGGCGCTGCTTGGACAGCAGCTTGTGCCACACGGCCTTCTTCGACTTGTAGGGGTGCTCGGTCTGCGGGGCCGGGGGGGTTAGAGCCGGGGGGCCCACAGCACAGCCCCTCCCCCGCGCTATGCCCCCTGCCCCACAGCTCCTCCCCCACCCCACAGCCCCTCCCCTGCACTATGCCCCCTGCCCCACAGCCCCTCCCCCGCGCTATGCCCCCTGCCCTGCAGCCCCTCCCCCATGCTATGCCCCCACCCTGCAGCCCCTCACCTGCTCCAGGTGGAAGAGCACAGCCGACACCTCCTGCACCCGTCGCACGATCTTCTCGGGCCGGTTGGCGTCCTCGGCCTTGCCCGACATCTCGCGGTACAGAGCCATCTGCCAGCGCATGGAGGCAGGGTTCTCGCACTGCCGGGGGGAGGGACTGTCAGACACGGCGCCTCGGGGCGGGGGCGGGGACGTAAATCGGTCCATAGGGCAAGGGGGGCCAGGCCAGAGCCTGGGTGTCCTGGGCTAGGGCATGGCGCTGGGGGGAGCAAAATGAGAGCGGGCCCATGGCGCCCGGAGGGGCTGAGAAAGGGGGACCGGCCCATGGCGCCCGATGGGGGCTGAGAAAGGGGGACCGGCCCATGGCGCCCGGGGGGCTGAGAAAGGGGGACCGGCCCATGGCGCCCGGGGGGCTGAGAAAGGGGGACCGGCCCATGGCACCCAGGGGAGAAGGAGAGGCTGGCCTGTGGCACCCAGAGGGGGGAGAAGGTGGGGCCGGCCCATGGCACCAGAGAGGAAAAGGGGGGGCTGGTCCGTGGCAGCCAGGGGAGGGGAAATGGGGGCTGGCCTGTGGCACTGGGGGAAGGGAAATGGGGGCTGGCCCGTGCTGCACGGGGAAGGGGAAATGGGGGCTGGCCCGTGCTGCCCGGGGGGGAAAGGGGGTGCCGGCCTGGGGGGGGACACTCACCTTGCCCTGCAGGTGCAGATTGTTGTTGAGAACATCCCGCACCTCCTCGTCGGTGTCTTTCTGTGGGGGTGAGGGGTGCAGAGTTCGTCACCCAGGGTGAGAAGCCGCTCCCACCCCAGCAGCTCATCGCCACCCCTCCGGCCCAGTGCCCCCCCCCGAAACACCCCCAACTCACTGCACCCCCAAGGGCATCAGCCCCACCTGGTTCCACCGCTGGCTCCTCCCGCTGCTCAGCCCGGCTCCTCCCCCACTCTCCTTGGCTCCACCCCCTGCTCACCCAGCTCCTCCTCTGCTCTCCCTGGCTCCACCCCTGCTCTCCCTGGCTCCTCCCCCACTATCCCTGTCTCCGCCTCCTGCTCTCCCAGCTCCGCCCCTGCTCACCCTGGCTCCTCCCCCACTCTCCCAGGCTCCTCCCCCGGCTCACCAGGGCGTAGCGGCCCTTGGCCAGGGTGATGAGCTCCTGGTCGGTGGGCGAACACATGTTGAGGCCGATGGGCAGCATCTTCTTCAGCGTGGCCACGATGAGCGAGGTCTGCACGGAGTAGCGATCCCCCCGCCGCTTCTTCTTGGTCCGCTCCTGCTCTGAGCTGCCCGCCTGGGGGGTACGGGGGGTGTGTGTCAGGGCGGGCCCCCGGCACGTCGACCCCCCCACCCCACCCCCCGGTCCTCTGCCTCCAGCCAACATGCCAAGGCAGAAGCGTCCGGCCACAGCAGCGCCCCTCCCGCCCTGAGAGGGGTACCTGGCTAGCCCCACCCCCACCAAACTGGAGGGGTGGGGCTTCCCACGAGGGGCAGGGCTTCCCACCTCCATGGGGGGAGGGGAGGAGCAGGGCCACTTGAAAAGGGTGAAAGGGCAGAGATGGCTGGGTAACCCCTGGGGGACTCGGACGGACATGATCGCTCAGTCACGGACGCTGACAATTCAGGAATCTCCAGTTCTGAACCGGCCGCCCGGCCCAGCCCCACTGCGTGAGGGGAGGGCTGTGTCACCCCCCACTCTGCTACAGCGGGAGGCACAGTGCTGGGAATGGCCAGTGAGCTCGGGCCGCGGGAGCCCAGGGTCACCTCAGCGGGGGACGGTGGAAACACAGGGTCCGAGGGAACTGACCGGGCGGAGGATGGTGGGGAAGGGGCTCCCGCCGCGTGTCACGGGCCGCTCGGGGGTATCCCGGGCGGGGGGCGGGGGGCAGAGACCGGGGTGACCCCTGCCAAGCTTAGAGAGGGGGAGCGGGACCCCTGGACGGGGCACAAACCAGGGAGGGGCCAGCGCAGACAGCTCCCCTGCACCCCACCCCACGGCACACGCAATCTGGCAGGCAGGCAGGGCAGCATAATCTGCCTGCGACATCCCTGTGCACCACCTCCCCCCACTCCGGCTGGGATGTCACGAGGGGTGATTATGAACTCCGTGATCTGGGGGGGGGCAGAACCCTCCCCGCCCCCCACTCCCCAGCTTTGCACAGCGAGAGCCCAGAAGAACCAAACCGGTTCGGATCAGGAGCCGGAGAGAGCTGGCCTGGCACATGCGGCTTCGGGGCTGAGAGACAGCTGGGGGCAAGGAGCAAATGCCAGGGGGGGCAGAGATCCCCCGTGCTGGGCCCCACGTCACCGGGGAAAAGCCCTGGCAGAGGGAAGGGGTCCCACCAGCAGGCCTACCGCACGGCCGCGGGCCAAGTACACCAGGGGCCGGAGGGCTGGGTGAGCCGATAGCCGACCGGCCGGTGCCTACAGAGCCCATGGGCCAGGTGCAGCGGGCACCGTCGCTCACCCAACCTCTGGCTCCTGGGCCGTGCGACGCAGGGTACCGTGGGCACATGGGGAGCGGGCTGGGGAGGACCCCAGCACTGTGGGGGGGAGGGCGGGGGGCTGGCAGATCAGACACAGACACAAGGCGCCATGCGGTCTCCGTGAGACGCTACCTGGCCTTCTCCAGACTAAAGGCACCCGGGCGGGAGAGAAGGGGAGACAAGACAGAAGAGACATGTTAGTCGGGCCACGAGCCCCCACGGCGGCTGCAGTGCACGCCCGGGATGAGAGCGGGGCCACCCGGGGCACGGTGCCCCCAGTGCAATCCGGGGGGGGACTCATAAGACAGTGCCCTGGAGGTTACACGGGGGGGGGGAGGATGGCAGAATGGCGCCCCCAGTGGTTAGATCGGGGGTGGCAGGACAGCACCCTGTAGACTGGTTCGGGGGGCTCATGGGACCACCCTCAGGCACCCATAGCCCGAATCAGAGTGGATCACGGAGTCACCAGGAAGCCCCCCGCCAGCCCCACACACGGGAACTATGGCTCGATCAATCCGGGCCCCTCGGCCCCCTTCTCCGCCGGCGCTGTGAGCTCTGGGCTCCCTGGGCCCAGCGTGCAGATGACCATACAGCAGGGCCGCCCCCTCTGCCCACCCGGGACGAGATTTGGCACCGAACATCGGCGCCTGGAGTCACACGAGCGTTTGCACGTCTGGAGCAGGAGCTGCAGGGGAGCCGGGTCGGGCAGCGTCCAGGTGGCCTTCCCAGCGTGAATCCCCTGTGATCGCCCTGCCCCACAGGCCTCTGGGGCAGGGCTCCCTTGCGCCCCACATGGCCTCACCTTGGACATTTTGCTTTTGCTGTCGGCCGTCAGGAAGGACATGTTGTTAATTTCGTTCTGCACCACGAAGTTCTGCTCCTCCCGCTTGAAATTCTGGGGGAGGGGGACAGGGGGACAGAGTTGTCCTCCCGGAGCCCAGCACCCCCTGCTGAGCCCCTGCCCTGCTCCCCGCAGCCCAGCGCCCCCCACCGAACCCCCGCCCCGCTCCCCACAGCCCAGCACCCCCCGCCGAACCACCGCCCCGCTCCCCGCAGTCCAGTGCCCCCCGGCCGAGCCCCC